ATTATATAAACGATATACTCAAGGAGAAAAAAAAAACAAAAATAAAATAGCTTAACTATCAATCAACAAAAACAAAATTAATTAAAGTAATACTGTTCCACACCATTATTTTCATAACAAAATTGCCCTTTTAAAAATCCCCATCGATACATTAAATATATCAATATCATAACAATTAATTAAGGACATATACCTATGTAAAGGGCTGTTAACCCCATATGTTGTCCTATGGAAAGGAATATGGAACATACTATTGTTGCGTAGACCCTGATAATATGGTACAACCTACATAATTTAAGAGATCTGGGCTGTCAATCAACCCATTTACAATTTTATAAATGAAAATCGCACCAAACACATCACGGCAATTTCCCAAAGGACTTAGGGATAGTTGACGCTCAATATCATCGTAGTCATGGTCAATGATTGTAGGAAAATCATACCTAAAAGCACATATTCTCAAAAATTTATGTTGCACTCTTTCCAATAATGCAGAGTGAACATGAAAAAAGGGAGACCACACAACTGAACAATACTCTAGCACTGACCGCGCTAAAGAGCAGTAAACAAGCCTAACTGACTCAACAGAAAAATACTTGCAGTTTCTACTAATAAAACCCAACATTTTTGACCCCTTTATACTTATTGAGATAACATGCTCAACAAATGACAATTTCTCATCGAATATAACGCCTAGATCCACAACGGATGATACATACTTGAGTTGTTGACCTTCTATTGTATAATCCGTTTCGATTCTGTTTGATTTTCTTGTGAAACTTATAAAGCAACATTTCTTTACATTCAAAAATAATTTGTTTGACACGCACCATTCTATCACACGATCTAAATCTTCTTGCAGCATTTGCTGGTCGCAAATGGACTCAATAGTTTTCCAAAATTTAATATCGTCTGCAAATAACAAGCATAAACTATATAAAAAACAATCAACAATGTCATTAACAAATATATTAAATAGCAGTAATATGTAAGTATAATGTAAGTGATAACTTAAGCCATGTTAATATAGTTTTAGATGATGAAAAAATTAAGCAGGTTAGGGAATTTAAATACTCGGGTGTAATGATAGATGAAAATCTAACATTTTCAAGTCATGCTGATTATATAACTAAGAGAATTTCTAGGAAAACTAATCTGTTACAGGATAGGAAACGAACTAAGTAGATGGACAAAACTTCTCATCTATAAAACAATAATATTTCCGCATCTTAACTACTGCGCATCAATAATGTTTATGTTTAATAAGGGGAGTATTGATATACTTCAAAAAAAGCAGAACTTTGCTTTAAGATGTATATTAAGGTGCAATAGATATGAAAGAATAAGAGACATGTTGAAAGAAACACAGTTATTGAGACAAAAAAATAATGGAACCGGATTTTTTTATCATGATCCTTGGCCTATATCTAAATTGGCCAAAAAAATTGTTAGGATTCCCTACCTTCGCGGGGCTATGCCACCTAAAATAGGGGGCCCTGCCGGGCTGTGCCCCCAAATAAGAGGCTTCGCCCCCCAAAAAAGGCCCCCAGGGCTCCGCCCCCCAAAAAAGGGGCCACTGCGAGACTGTGCCCCTCAAAAATGGGGCCCCCGCGGGACTGTGCCCCCCAAATAGGGGGCCCCCGAACTTTAATATGGGTACACTTTTCAGTAAAAGTAAAAATCGTGCGGAAAAGTAAAAAAATAGTTCGGAAAAGTAAAATCGTGCGGAAAAGTAAAATCGTGCGGAAAAGTACAACTTTTCCGCACGCTCGTAGGAAATAGCTATTTACTTAACAAGTGCGGAAAAATATTTTCCGCAAGTGTTAGGTACAATATTTTTCCTACAGGCGAAAAAATGTAAAATTTTTCTTTTTTTTTTTGACATATCAGTGCGGTAAAATTTTTTCCGCACTGACAGCCGTGCGGAAAAACTTTTTCCGCACTGATATGTCAAAAAAAAAAGTTTTACCGCACCGTGCGGGAAAACTCATTTTCCGCACGCATATCAGTGCGGAAAATCGATTTTTCCGCACGGCTGTAGGAAATAGTTATTTTCCTACAAGCGTGCGCAAAGTAGTACTTTTCCGCACGCATTACAGTTCTCAAAGTTTCGCTTTTCCGCACTCAGTGCGGATACGGGCCTTATCCGCACTGAGTGCCGAAAAGTAAAAATAATTGTCAAGCAACAATCAATGCACCTGTCGACTTTGACATATGATGACAAATTTGTTCTCTGTTTCTATATCAGCCAACATCTATACAAACACTGAATATAATCTGACACATTGTCAGATTTGTGTTCCCATTTACATGCAAGAATCTACAAACTTCTTTCGCATCAAATTTAAACGCTTGAAGATGAACAGCTCTGACGAGGATTTCAATTTTCTGTTTTTCTGTTATGTAATTTTTTGATGAATGAATAGGTTCGCTTCAAGTTAATTGAAAATAATTGCACAAATTATCGTTTTTTTTTTTAAATTTTTGTTGTTACCTACCTGATATGAAGCTCGTAGGAAAAATTTTGTTCCTAACACGTGCGCAAAGTGTCTTTTCCGCACGCAAACACTTATCCGAACTCCGCTTCGCGTCGTTCGTATAACTGTATTTGCGTGCGGAAAAGTAACACTTTGCGCACTTGTTAGGAAAATAACTATTTCCTAACAAGTGCGCAAAGTGATATTTTCCCGCACGAAAAAGCAGTTAGACGAACGACGCGAAGCGGAGTTCGGATAAGCTTTGAGTGCGGGAAAGACACTTTGCGCAAGTGTTAGGAACAATATTTTTTCTACGAGTATCTTAAAAAAGTAGACTTTGAATTGTTAAAATATTAGAAAAATCAATCAAATCAAAATCTTCAAAAATCGTTTAAAATCTATTGGAATTCCTCAGAATGTCTTTTAAATTAAATCCCCAAAAATCTTTTAACATCTTCTGGAATTTCTAGAATACCAGCTAGAATATTTTCATGAGAGTCTCTTAGATATCAAAAATTCTGCAAATTCCTAGCAGTACAGGCGGTCCAATTTGGATACCTTTGATAGGAAACATCACGTTGACTAAGCGCTAATTTCAACTTAAACCTTGCATTTTGAGTATTAGTTTATTCAGAAACCATCAAAACATTGGAAAATCAAGTATAACTATGGTAATTATGCGTAACAAAAATGAGTGCGCAAAGAGTTTCCGTGCGCAAAGTTCAACTTTGCGCACGCAAATAAGTGCGCAAAGTGATTACTTTGCGCACGCAAGTAGAAAAAAATAATTACAGTGCAACTAAAAAATGTGGCTTTTACTTTTGTTGCATTAAATATGCAGCGGATGATGATGGATTACAAAAAAAAAATACATTTTGCAAGCAGAGTGGATAAATGAATGAATAATTGATAATAATCGACCGATCAATAAATACGGATCAACCAATGAACTATAGTCAAAAACTATAATGCGCACACATTGCCATATCTGCCAAAAAAATGAAGCCATGAAAGACAGATGCCATAAGGGGGAATGTTGTTTTTTTCTGTTGCTCGCTGACATAATATGAAGTTTTGTCATATTTCCCTTCACAGGTTTCATCAATTGGAATACGTGTTGGAAGCAATTTTCGCCATTTAACATAATGAGTGCGACAAAAACAGGTATCCCCTCCGCAGCAGCCGCAATAGGCCTCACGTTCGCCATATGTGTTCGCATTCCAGTTTTTGGTTATAGTTCATTGGTCTAGGTAAACGGAGAAAATACTTGGCAACAGCGTATTATTCTTCTGTTTGGCTAACTTCACAATGCTCAAAGGCACATTCATAACCACAAGTTTATGTCTGACAATGTCAAACTGTCAAACAAATTGACTAGCAAAGTATTTCGGGTTCTTGTAAATTTTTTGTCATGTTATTTTTTGCGGTGTGTGCCAGGATCTCCTGACTGAACTCTGGTGTTTTCTCAATTCAATGTTCATTTTCTGCATGCATTTTAACAAAAATTGTGAAATTTGAAGAACCAAGACAAAATAAAAACAATTAAGTACCTAGATCCCCTATCAGTTCCAGCAAGTACAAAACTGTATTTTTCATCAGCCGAGAATATCTGAAAAATTTCAGGTTATCTAGCTCTTGAAAATGGTTTTTCTCTGGTAAACCTTCCAGAGAAATCCGACCCCCATAGCTTTGTTCCAACCCGGCAGAAAACCGTTCATTTTACCGCCAGGATTCTGCGCAAAACGTTAAATTTGTGTGTAGAATCCGAAATGTGTATACAGAATGGTTCCGAATAAGTTCTTGGGGCGGTTTTTTGCTAGTTTGGAAGTTGGAACAGTCCTAATAATGTTCAGAAGATCAAGATCGTCATTTGAAAACATATCGTCTTTAAGGAAATCGAAATCCTAATCCATTTTAATTTAATTTAGAATATTCAGTAAAAGCAATGGAACAATAAAAAGAAAAAACCAACAAATGGATTGAGGTTGAAAAGTACGAATAGTCTAATCGATGTTTATCACCAAAAATTGGACGTTTAGATCAATCAATGTTTAAGGTTCGCTAAACGTTGATTAGTGAACGGTGCAATCGGCCATTGGTATGGCACACTGTAATTATTGACAACTGACTTATCACCCAACTTGAAAACAGGAAGAAGATAAGATTTTTTCCATAAGGAATTAAAGTAACCAGCATCCATCGAACTTTGGAAAAGTGCTCTCAATGGATTTATACCGGAGGTGCAACAAGATTTCAACAATAACCGTGGAATGCCATCAGAACCTGCTTTCTTAGATAAGATTTATCCAAGGATGATAACTTTTCTGTGATTTCCGCTGTGGTAAAAATATGAAAAGACAAAGTGGCACAGAATTCCACTCATACTTTAAGTCACTTGCAGTTTTTTGAATAGTCAGTGAACTGAATTTTGAATGGAAATTTGAAATAGGTATTCTGTTTTGAAAAAAAATATTTCCTTTTGTAAATTATAAAAAACAATATTTTCTATTATGAACATTTTACCTGGTTGAACGCTGGTGACACCCTCTCCAACGCTCTCGACAATCCCAGAACCTTCGTGCCCCAAAATCACTGGAAAAATCCCCTCTGGATCGGATCCGCTCAAAGTATAAGCATCCGTATGACAAACTGCGGTGTACAAAATCTTAATTCTGACCTCGTGGGCTTTTGGCGGAGCTACTTCTACCGTCTCGAATTTGAGGTCTTCTTTAGGGCCCCACGCTACTGCCGCTTTACATTTGATAACCTATTTTTGAAATAAAATTTTGGTTAAATTTTAAGTTTGCGGTTGAAAAATAAATGTTTAAATACGTACTTGACCTACAGTGGACATTTTGCTGTTGCTGATTGAAAGGTTGGATTAAAAGTGGTGTGATATATTATGTTATGTTGTTAATTTATCACTAAATATTAAATTTAATTATTATTATCATGAAAATATTGTCTTGATAGTGGAGTCTACTCTACACACAGTGTTGCCAGATGGAAATTTCTGAGAACAGTAGGAACACAGCCTCCTATAATTAACAAGCCATGAAATTGGAAATGACGGCAACGTCGCGTATGGTGCTATTTTGTTATTGGGTTATGTTTCTGGTTTCTGTGTATTGCTTTCATTGTGTATTGTTGCAATTTAGTATTTTTATCGGCATTATTGACGAAAAAGTGGATAGAAACACACCAATATATTGCCCATATTTAGTTGATACCTGTTCCTTTGTGCTTTGATTGCAAATTTTTAGCAAATGGGTACAGGAGCAAAAATGAAGGTAAGGTAAGGTAAAACAATAAAAACAATATTAATATTTGTCTGCAAGAGCATAGGTCGATATATTACCTAAGATATTTAAACTTGTTCCAGATGCCATGAAACTACTGTGTTCCTGGGTGCAAATCGAACTATTAGGAGTTCCTTAAAAACTGAAGAAATGCAAACATTTTTATTTCCAAAAAAAATCTGAAGTGCAAAAAATGTGGATGAAAGCAATACACCAAGATAATTATACCCGAGATTATACAATAACGAAAAATTCTGTGGTGTGTTGTAAACATTTTGAAGAAACCGAAATAATTAGATTTGAAACAAACAAGGATAAAGGCGTAGTTCGAGAGTTCAAACTAAAACGTCCAACTCTTAAAAGTAGGTACCTCTTATTTTCGAAAATCAGCTCAAGTATTTGAATGGACTTGCCTTCCGAAAAAATCCCGAAGAAAGAAAAAGTTAGATTTTCAAAAGACATACTGAAACATAGGCCTATAACACTTTAGACTCTAGAAATATATTCATTTAAATCAATTATTTACTGTTCTTATTTACACAAATAGTTAAATTATTCATTGAATTACTGTTTTTGGCCCTTTAGTACAATAAATTATGTATTTTTTGTGATTCATATTAATAAAATAAAAAATATATATTTTTACAAACAAACACCACCAGCACCACTTGGCCGTAAGATTGCGGTGTTGCCTTTTTAACTTCATGGCTTGTTAAATGTAGGGGGCTGTGGTAGGCAATGAACTATAGTCAAAAACTGGAATGCGCACACTGCCATATCTGCCAAAAAAATGTAGCCATGAAAGACAGATGCCACAAAGGGGAATGTTGTTTCTTTCTGTTGCTCGCTGACCTATGACGTTTTGGAAAGTTTTGTCATATTTACCTTCACAGGTTTCATCAATTGGAATACGTGTTGGAAGCAATTTCCGCCATTTAACATAATGAGTGCGACAAAAACAGGTATCCCCTCCGCAGCAGCGGCACTAGGCTTCACGTTCGTCAATATGTGTTCGCATTCCAGTTTTTGGTTATAGTTCATTGGTGGTAGGAATGTAGCCAAATAAACAGGAGATTGCTTTTTTCAACAAGAGATTTTAATTAGGCAGTGGATAGAGGTCCGAAAATTCGGATCTCTAGTGTTCATACTAAAGATCCGATAATTTTCGGATTTTCAATTTGTATATTAGGGGTCCGAAAATGCGGATCTTTAGTGGTAATACTGAAGATCCGAAAATAGATGTTTATTTCTAATTCTGTCTAATTAAGGAGTATCGTCGCAAGTATCTACAAAGAATAGCTTTGTTCGCGGGTCCGATTCCGAATCGGTTCAGGGACTATTCGCATGCGCAGTGCAAAAAGTGGCGTTCGCGGTTCATATAATTCTGAATTTTTAGTAACAGTTCTACGTTCGCGGATCACATAGAATTGATTTTAATTGATTCGGAATCGGTTCTAGCAGTCCCAGGATTTTTGTTAGGACTAAAAGTTCGGTTCGGCTGCTCATGCGCAATTTCGTCAGACTTGTCAGATGACTGGTGTTTATGTGTGTTTGCGTTATTGAAATTTGAGTTTTTCAATTGTTTATACGCTAGTTTTTTTTCTACGGAGTTTATAGTTTACTGAATTTGCAGTACAGTATTGTAAGTTACCTACCTACTTATCTCTATTTAATCTAATATATTTATATTTATATGCACAATTTTAGTGATTTTTTTTTCATCTAAGTACCTACTAGTCGGACCATATTTGTTATCTAACGATGAGGACAAGGAAGAATTAGAGCTTGTTTAGTTCCTAAAAGCAATGTAATTTTGAGGAGGTGATGCCACATTTCAGGGAAGAACAATGTATAAAGCATTTTCGAATTTTGAATAAATATAAATATATTTGTTCTGTTATTCTTTTTGATTTATGGAAATCAAATAGCTAAGGTTCACAAATCACATAATGTTTAAAAGTATTCGGTTTTCGGTTCCAAAATCATTCGCGGTAAAAAGAAATCCTGAACCGATTCTTAACTAGGCATGCGCTCTACGACAATCCCGAATTAGTTCTGAACCGATTCGGAATCGGACCCGCGAACAAAGCTAATATTCGAGATAAGTCTGTTTCTGCAGAAATTACAAACCAGTGAGAGTGAATTTCATTGGTTCATACTAGTTTTCTGACTGTTTTCAACCAATGAAATTTGCTCTGACTAATTTGTGATTTCTGCAGAAACAGACTTATCTTGAATATTACCTATTCTTTGTAGATATTTGCGACACCATTTTAATGAAACTAGCCCAAGAACCAAATACTACTGCACAAAACCAATTAGAAGAAAAAATAAAAAGTGTTAAATTTCCTTTGAAACCCATAAAGGAAGACCCAAAGGACATCAATTAACTGCAATTGGACTAAAAAGGTCTAAGAAAAATAAAAGTCTTTTATTCAAAAATGAAGTTCCTAAACTGAGGCACCAGATAATGCTTAATGCAGTTTGAAATACAGATGATTTGGTAAGCAAAGCATTACATAAAAACTTTAAAAATGAGAACTAAAACATTCCTCATCATCAACAAATTGATCCACTTCTTCTTGAAAAAGAAATATCTTTAGCAGAAATAGAAACATATTTTTGTCTGGATTCTTATGTTTTATTACAAAAACGAATTGGAGAAAAACAAAATAGTATTCTAAAATGGATTTGTGATATATGTAAAAAAGTGATACACGAAGATTGCTTACAGTGTGATTCATGTCTTCGGTGTAAACATAAAGTGTGTTGTTTAGTAACAAAGCTGCCTTCTAGTAAGAAAGCCTGGTTTTGCATGCAGTGCAGAAGGAACTAAATCACACCTCACACCTCTTACCCTATCAACCCTTAAAATGAAGAAATATTTATTTTTAATTATGTAATGTTTTAAGAAAATAAAAAGGTACGTTTTGTTTTTTGTACCGTTCTGTTTGAAATTGCACCAACCAAATATTTTCGACTAAACTTGATTAGTTATTCTACATAAAAAGGATTAGGATCCATTTTATCTAGTATAAATCCTTAAAAATACAAGCGTTTTATCAATTTTATTGAAATGGTATAATATTCCTTAATTACGACAGAATTAGAAATAAACATCTATTTTCGGATCTTCAATAATAATTGAAAATCCGAGAATTATCGGAACTTTAGTATGAACACTAGAGATCCGAATTTTCGGACCTCTATCCACTGCCTTTAATTAATCTATTTTTCGAAAGAGAAACACGGTACATGCACTGAGTAGTTACAAAATTAGGGGTTTCCCAACTGCTTATCGAGCTGAAAGTGTCTGCCATTTCAGCCGCAGACGTCAACTCTTGGCGTAAAAATGCATTAGCCGAGTTTAAAACAATATAGGTCGCAAAAAAGTTATATTCTTGTGAAAATAACCTTTTCTATATTTAAAATCGAAAAACAAGCACAACTTGAATCATAAGCATTCCATCGAGGCCTGCGGGTGACGTCACTAGTATAAGCTGCTATGCTGCTCATAGTAGTGACGTCATTCGTAGGCCCTGCCGACTCGAAAATTGAAGAACGTACGGTACGCCTTATGAGGATGAGCAATAACGTGCGTTTTTATTCTCACCGATGTGCTCATCGATTAAGCGAAAATGTCAATTGGCTGTTTTTATTCTCATCAGTAAAACATCGATGGATTTCATCGGTCTGTTTTTATTCTCATCCTACACTTATCGGTGAAAGTACGATTAGCCATCGAATTCATCGAGGTTCATTTAGGATGAACTGATGAATTATAACGTAAAATGTAACCTCAAAATTATATTGACGGTTGTTGATGGCCGACTGGCATCGTTTTGTTTTGCATTTATATTCATTATGTGAAGATTTGCGAAGACCTTAACAAAAAAAAAAGGGAAAAAGGCATGTTCAAGTGATCTGAAGGGTGTGAAAACCGAGACCATACCAAACCTAAGAGTTCTGAGCATAAGAGCGCCAGAGCGCCAAATTACCTAACTTTGTGACAAGTGAGAAATATACTGAACTATCAAATCAAACTAATTTGTGAGGTCTTAAAGCTCAGCTAACTGTCTCAGAGATAATTTTATTTCTAATATCAGTATCTACAGTCCTAGTAAGTCTAAAATGAGACTTAACATCTAAATCACTATACAAAGGAACTACAGAGAAGAAATATAATTTTGTATTTTTTTATGTTTTCTACAATTCAAGTAAAACTATTTCATCTGAAGAGCTTCTAGACTCATCACTTGATGATGATGAAGAGCTCACAATTATTCTCAACTAACACGTAGACTTCCAATCATTGTATGGCTACGGTTTTTTAAACAAATAAAAGAAGAAATAAGTTTGCCACATCAAACAAACAACACAAATCAATGCCAAAAGTATCAATTCAAGTGTCAAAATCCATCGAAGTGTTTTTTAGTTGATTCATTTCATCAACAAAATTGCGATGAATTTTGATGACGTACTGCTCATCGGCGCTCATCGGTGATGGAATTCATCAGGAAAACTCGATGAGAATAAAAACGCACGTATACTGTTATTTTACGATTCTTGGGGGATTCCCTCAAATCAAACCATTAACCCTTTTCACGTGGTTCCGGTTTAATAAACCGCAACATACCGCTCAAATTCGAGTGGTAGGGTAGGTATCCATCACGTCACTTTGTAACCGGGTTAGAAAACGGTATG